GTTTTTGGCGAATTGCTAGTCCAAATCAATTGGAATCGAGCCAATGAAAAGTGGCTTTTGATTTCATGATATCTTCGGGTTTGTTCGTTTTGGTGAATTGGTAGTCTAATTCGATTCAAATCCAGCTAATGAAAAGTGGTTTTTGATTTCATGATTGTAACGACCCAAATCTTATATAGATTTAGAAATCGTTACCAAACCTTTCATTCCATAAATAATTAAAATAATAAATATCCAACATGAAAATCTTTCTAGTTCCATCTATAAAATAAATAAAACACATGGAAGAACTTAAAAACAAATTATTAGATATATATATTTAATCATGTATAAGGAATTCTAAAAAAATATTGCTTTCATTGAATCTCCAATTATCGATCATCTTCACGTGTTGAACACTCAAGTCAAATTAAAATAACATCTTATTCCTATGTATTTCGGGAGATCCAATAAATTTATATCTAAGACTTATGAATTAAAACGAATTTGACACGGGTGTGGCAGACAAACATGAATTTTCTAACTCCTGGCATAATTAATACAGTGGTTCATAACACAATATTTCCCCCTAATTAGTGCATAATTTCAATTAGTTACTTAACTAAGTCAAAGGCAACGGATGGAATTAAATAACCCACAGAATGTTTATTTACTGCAATTAAAGAAAAAAAATCCAAAACAGAATTCATTTATGTAAAAAAAAAAACTACGAACAAGACATTGATTCATGACTAACACGTACAAGCAAAAACTATCAAATTCATATCATAATTAATGCTATGGATGTGAAGGGACACAAATGAAGGTGTGGGGGTGGCAGGGAATCATTGTGTTGACCCTAAATTTCCATCAATTTGGGGAAAATCAAAGTAAAGTACAAACATAGGCATGCAAACTATTAAATTCTTTCTTCCCAACGTATACGAAAGAACAGATTTGCAAATCGATAGGAAGGAAAATAACATTTAGTTCAAACTTCTATTTTTCATATCATATCTTTAGAACCGGTAAGAGCTCATATCATATCATATCTTTGGTACCGGATGGCCATAACATACATATCATAATCACATTACACATATCATAACTTTCATAAGTATAATATTTATCAAACATGAAGAAATAATTTAAATGGGACAACCCACTTGCACCTCGTAATCCTACCTTGATTTAATTTCCGGAAGAGAAATAATAAAATCAATTTCTTTTCTTCTATATTTTTCTGCCTCTATTGACAATGTGTGCGCGTACCAATATATTTTTTGTGTCTTTATTCTCGTGCAGTTCATTCCATATACATATGCAGTAATATTCATAGGAAAACGTGTGGGAGAGTGGGTATTTAGATAAAGTTAAAAAAAAACTATTTTTGAAACAAAATAGGAGACCCAAACCTTATCAATATAGGATCATGTACTGTCAACTAACCAATCACCCAACAGCCAAACATTACCCTACACGTCCATTTGGTTTCTCAACAACCACTCACGTGGTTGGGGCTCCCCATAATTCTCTCTCTCTCTCTCTCTCTCTACTTTATTTCATTTAATATACAAATCAATTATCACTTACCTACCACCTACTTAGAATCCTAGTACTTCACGTGATACCTCCCAATTCAAAACACACTTAATAAAATATTATTATTAATAATAAAACAATAAAATATCTCAACAACTTTCATCTCTCTCTCCACGTAAATTCTTCCAAAAACAAAAGTAATAAAAATAATATTTTAATGTTATATCTTCCGGCTTCGATAACTTGGGCTCGACTAATCCAAATTAATTTTTTCTCGAGCCTAAACTGCGTCTTTAATTACGGTCTATCCAACGAGCCCAATATCCATATATTAATCATTAACCCGCCAATATTTACATTTTAAGCCCAAAAAGATTAAATTTTACTTTATCTACACTTTAGTCACTAAACTTCCAAAATATTAAAATATAGCACACATAAATTAAATTCTAATCTATGAAATTTTGGGGACATTACAATCTCCCCTCCTTAAATATTTTCGTCCTCGAAAATTTACCTTAGTTAATTGAAAAGTTCTGGATACTTGGTTCTAAGCTCTTCTTCTTTCTCCCATGTTGATTCCTCTCGTCCATGATTTCGCCATTGCACCTTGACCAATGGAACTCCTTCTTCCTAAGTTGATGTACCTTTCTTTCCAAAATTACCGTCGGAATTTCTTCATATGATAGATCTTTTTGTGCATCCAATGTCTGATAGCTTACCACATGATTGGGATCATGAACATATTTTCTGAGCATCGAAACATGGAACACATTATGCACTGCTATTAGTTCAGGTGGCAAGGTAAGTCTGTAAGCCAAACTACCAATCCTTTCAAGAATTTCGAAAGGTCCGACGAACCGCGGTCTCAACTTTCCTTTCTTTCCAAATCTCAATACACCCTTCATTGGTGCTACCTTTAGAAAGACTTTGTCACCTATTTGAAATTCTAAATCCTTTCTTCTACTGTCAGCATAACTTTTCTGTCGATCTTGTGCAGCCTTTATTCTTGCTCTAATATTATCCACTGCCTCAACTGTTCGTTCAATGATTTCTGGACCCAAAATTCTGTTTTCCCCCACTTCATCCCAATGGATGGGGGATCTGCACTTTCTACCATAAAGAGCTTCATACGGGGCCATTCCTATAGTGGCCTGAAAACTATTGTCGTAAGCAAACTCCACTGACGGCAGGTGTGTCTCCCAACTACCTCCAAGATCCAAAACACATGTCCTTAACATATCTTCCAAAGTTTGGATGGTTCTTTCTGATTGTCCATCCGTCTGAGGATGATAAGCTGTGCTAAACTTCAGTTTTGTCCCCATGGCTGTTTGCAAACTTTTCCAAAATTTAGATGTGAACCTCGGGTCTCTATCTGAAACAATGGTGACTGGGACTCCATGCAACCTGACTATCTCCCTGTTGTATAATTGTGCCAGCTGTTCAAAGTTAAAGTTTACTTTAATTGGAAGAAAATGGGCTGACTTCGTCAGACGATCCACCACTACCCAGATAGCATTGTGACCTTTTGCTGATCTCGGGAGGCCTACCACAAAGTCCATCGTTATGTGTTCCCATTTCCATTCTGGAATATCCAACGGTTTCAGTAATCCTGATGGCCTTTGATGTTCTGCCTTAACCTATTGACAGATAATACATCTCTCCACGAACAGACCTATTCCTCTCTTCATGTTTCTCCACCAAAATACATCCCGGAGATCTCGGTACATTTTCGTACCACCTGGGTGAGTAGAATAAGGGGTTGAATGAGCCTCTTCTAATATCTCATTTCTTATAATTTCATCCTTAGGTACACACAGTCTTCCTTTGAAAGTTAGCGCATTATCTGCAGATACTTCAAACCCTATATGTTTATCTGTACCAATCTCGACCTTTATCTTCTGTAAAAATAGATCTTTATCCTGTGCCTCCTTGATTCGATCTCGAAGTGTAGGTGGAATCATGAATGTTCTTATTCTTGCCGAAATCTGAGTTGGCGGCGTGATAACTTCCAATCTCAATTTATCAAACTCCCTTATCAAGTGTTCCTGTACTGTTGGTAAAACTGCTAACTGTGTTCCTGTCTTTCTGCTTAGGGCATCTGCAACTACATTAGCCTTACCCGGATGGTAATGAATTGTGCAGTCATAATCCTTCACTAATTCCAACCATCTCCTCTGTCTCATGTTTAGTTCCTTCTGTGTGAAAAAGTATTTCAGACTCTTGTGGTCCGTATAAATTTCACACTTCCCACCATAAAGATAATGACACCATATCTTTAAGGCGTGAACAACTGTTGCAAGCTCCAAGTCATGCGTTGGATAGTTTTGTTCATACTATTTCAACTGTCTCGAGGCATAAGCAACCACTTTTCCATGCTGCATCAGTACACAACCCAAGCCCTGCTTGGAGGCATCGCTGTAAATCACAAATCCCTCTGAACCTTCAGGTATCGTCAATACAGGAGCTGACACTAGTCTCTGATTGAGTTCTTTAAAGCATTTTTCACATTTTTCTGTCCACTGAAACTTTACACCCTTTATTGTCAACTGAGTCATCGGCCCTACAATCTTTGAGAAGCCTTCAATGAATCTTCTATAATAACCAGCCAATCCCAAGAAACTGTGGACTTCACCGACACCGCTCGGCCTTGGCCAATTTGTTACTGCTTCCACTTTAGCGGGGTCTACTTCGATTCCTTGGGCGGTAACAACGTGACCTAGAAAACCTACATGATCAAGCCAGAATTCACACTTCTTGAATTTGGCATATAATTTCTCATTCCTCAAAGTTTCAAGTACAATTCGAAGTTGTTCCTCATGTTGCTTCTTTTCTTCTGAGTACACAAGTATGTCGTCAATAAACACTATGACGAACTGATCTAAATGCTGATGGAATACTCTATTCATGAGATCCATAAATACAGCTGGAGCATTGGTCAAACCAAAAGGCATGACAGTGAATTCATAATGCCCATAATGAGTCCTGAAAGCAGTTTTCGGTATATCGCTTGCCCTAATTTTTAGCTGGTGATACCCTGACCTCAAGTCGATCTTTGAAAATACTGCAGCAGCCCTTAACTTGTCAAACAAATCTTCTATTCTTGGTAGTGGGTACTTATTTTTGATGGTCAGATGGTTCAATTCACGATAGTCAATACACATCCTCATACTCCCATCCTTCTTCTTGACAAAAAGTACAGGTGCTCCCCAAGGAGATACACTTGGTCGTATGAAACCTTTCTCCAGTAACTCCTCTAATTGCAACTTCAATTCTTGTAGTTCTTTTGGTGCCATTCGGTACGGGGCCTTAGATACTGGTGCCGCTCCAAGAACTAAATCAATTGTAAATTCCACTTGTCTATCTGGTGGAATGCCTGCCAAATCTTCTGGGAATACATCTGCAAAGTTTCGGACGATGTTAATATCGTTAACGGTCATTTCTGTATGTTGAGAACTATTGATGTTAACTAAGAATCCCTAGCATGACTCCTTCCTTAACATCTTTTGTGCTTGCATAGCTGATATTAGGCGCGGTAAAGACTTGAACTTTGCTCCCAAGAAACGAAACTCTTCCTCTCCTGGTCTATGAAACAATACTTCTTTCTCGTAACATCGAATGGTTGCATGATTAATTCCCAACCAATCCATGCCTAAAATAACATCGAAATCTTTCATCTCCAAAAGGTACAAGTCTGCCTCTAATATTTTTCCGTCAATCTCTAATTTCATGTCCTTAGTCATCTGATTTGTACAAAGAGTTCTTCCTAAAGGGATGCTAACCTCTAGTTCATTATTCGTTCTTACACATGCAAAGTTGGACTTAGCGACGAATGATGTAGAGATAAAAGAATTGGTAGCCCAAGAATCAAATAGTACATAAGCAGGTACATGAGATAATAACAGAATACCTGTTTTCATAATTTATAGTGTTAGACTAACAACCAAGGGACGGATTTGGAAAAATGTGTAGTCCTAGGCAAAAAAAGAACATAAGCAAGTGTGTTAAAATATTAAATAATTTAGTACCTGCTATCACATTCGGATCCTGCTCCGCCTCATGCTGATTTAGTGCAAAAACTCGGGCCTTTCCTTTCTTGTTCTTGTCCTGATCATCATCCTTCCTTTTTGGTGGCTCTGTACAGTTGAGAGCAATGTGCCCTGGCTTACCACATCGAAAACACATGTTCTTCCCGAGTAAGCATTCACCCCTGTGGAGTTTATTACACTTAGGACACGGTGTAATATTCCCACTCGCTCCACCAATACGAACTCCTGTGTTTGGCCTTTTACTCTGCCAATTAGGTCTGTCCTTGTTTGGATCATTCCACTTTCTTTTTCCCGATGACTCCTTGCTTTGCTGGGCATACTGTTCAAAGGTAGTCCTCTGATATGAAATAGCATGAGCCCTCTCCAACATTTCACGATATGAGGTGAAACGATGGGACATAATGATCATGCTGATCTCAGGGCACAGTCCATTCTCGGACCTCCTAATCTTCTTAACTTCTGTATCCACCAAGTGCGGGGCATACCTTGAGAGCTGCTCAAACTGTCTTTCATAATCAGTAAGTGACATACTCCCTTATCTGAGCTGCAAAAATTCTGATTCCTTGAAGTCTCTCAAAGCCTGTGAGAAATATTTTGCCATCACATCATCTTTAAACTGCTCCCAAGTCAGATTACGTTGCTGCTCTTTCGTCATTGTACGTGAAACAGATTCCCACCAGTGACCAGCTGCTCCAATCAACATAAATTCTGCACATAATACTTTCTGTGCATCCGTACAAGCAATGTGTCGAAATATGCGCTCCAGGCCTCTAATCCACTCTTCGACAACCAGTGGTTCAGAATTACCATCGAAAGTGGAAGGCTTGTACCTACGAAACTGTTCAACCACTGAGACAGCTCCAAGGGCAAAATGCGGTGCATTCTACTGTGGCGGTGCATTTTGTGGTGGAGGTGCTTGATTTTGCCCGCTCAACTCTTGTACCGCTCGTAGTAAATCGCGCATCAAATTCGTATGAGTAGGTGGTGCCATTTCCTAAAATTTAATATGAAGTCACCAATCATACTTAGTACTAAGTCTAATAAGTTATAATTATCTATGACAATATATATCATAATTTAGTGGGAAAAATAAACGTGCATGTCTTAACATTTAAAGATAGGAAATTTAAAGCATTTAAATCTCGCAAAAAGCTTTAAGTACATTTATCTTCTTACCCTTTTTGCATACCTTACAGTCGTTGGAGGGTGGTCGATTGGTGGTCGTTGAGTGCCAAAGATCATTCACATATTTCATAACTTTTAATTTAATATTATCGTTAAATTCATAAATAAATAAAAAATATTAACCTTAAACAAATATTATCTAGGAAAACAAGTAAGCAAATAAGCCTTTTTATAACATGTAACAAAAAAGAAAATTCAATATATATATATAACATCACATAAATTTTTTTTATCCTACACTGTTCACGTGAACAGTAACAGTACTATTCACGTGAACGGTCCGGTCACTGTTCACAATAAATTTTTTTTTTTATTCGAAACACAAAACTACACAATCAACAAGGTGTATTAAATGTATATTAAGGTAAACCTGCACACACCTTTCAATGTTAAAATGATGGTTTGACCTTTGAATTTCAACATTTTTTGGCAATAATTAAATGCTCTGACATAGTATGTCACCTCCAACATTAAACAATTAATTTACCATTAAAAATTATAAAAGTGGGCAGTACTATGGAGTTAAAACACGGGCGTAGTTTCCAACGTATATATTATATAATCCACACACATGCTTATTGATACATATATATGCCCCCGCACGAATTATAACATATAGGCAGAATCATGCATTTCACGTACGATTAATTCGATCAAATTCTAACACCATGAACAGTATGTGACACTATTCACGAGAACAGTAACCTTACTGTTCATCATTTTTTTTTGTCTAAGTCCATGTCCTTTTCTGATCATTTTCCTTGAATCTGGAGCCTTTGAAATATACATATAAATCAATTCAAAATTTTAATGGCCATGTGCATAGTAAGTGTAACAATAATTAATTTCAATAAAAACCTTGATTTAGTCTAACAGCAAATGTTTCCATGCATTAATTGGTTTCTTCAGCTTCAAATTTTACACGTTACTGCCTCTCCCTTTTATTTTATTATTTTATTCTTTGTAAAACCCAGAATAAGTCCATTTAATTTATGGCCAGAATTTTATTTTTTATTTATTTATTTTTCAAAACCGAATTATGAGAATACATGTGAGTCGACAGGAATTTAAACCTATACTCTGATACCAAACTGTAGCGACCCAAATCTTATATAGATTTAGAAATCGTTACCAAACCTTTCATTCCATAAATAATTAAAATAATAAATATCCAACATGAAAATCTTTCTAGTTCCATCTATAAAATAAATAAAACACATGGAAGAACTTAAAAACAAATTATTAGATATATATATTTAATCATGTATAATGAATTCTAAAAAAATATTGCTTTCATTGAATCTCCAATTATCGATCATCTTCACGTGTTGAACACTCAAGTCAAATTAAAATAACATCTTATTCCTATGTATTTCGGGAGATCCAATAAATTTATATCTAAAACCTATGAATTAAAACGAATTTGACACGGGTGTGGCAGACAAACATGAATTTTCTAACTCCTGGCATAATTAATACAGTGGTTCATAACACAATATTTTCCCCTAATTAGTGCATAATTTCAATTAGTTACTTAACTAAGTCAAAGGCAACGGATGGAATTAAATAACCCACAGAATGTTTATTTACTGCAATTAAAGAAAAAAAATCCAAAACAGAATTCATTTATGTAAAAAAAAAAACTACGAACAAGACATTGATTCATGACTAACACGTACAAGCAAAAACTATCAAATTCATATCATAATTAATGCTATGGATGTGAAGGGACACAAATGAAGGTGTGGGGG